GCGCGGGAGCGCCCGGCCCGCTTCCTCGCCGCCTGCCCGCGCAGCCGGGCGCCCTCCGCAGCGAAGGCCGAGCCGAGGAGCCGCCCGAGAGCAGCCCCGGCGCCCGTGCCGATCTGGGAGAGCCGGAAAGGTCGGTCCCGGGCTTTGCAGCCGGCGAGGCGCGGCCCCTCCAGCCCCGAGCCGGCGGCACCTTACCTGGCGCGGTTGTTTTCCGGCCGAGAGATGGTGATTCTGGGCCTGGAGTATGGAATCGACGCGAAGGTTTTGCTCCTGGGAGTAGCAGCCGATTTGCCGAGTTGGGGCTCGCTTAACTTGGGCACCTGGGAGAAAACCCTTTACGAACAAATTTATACCCCAACTGCGACTTTTTCATATCTTTCTCAGATGAATTGCCCCAAATATCTGCGGAACATCCTCTTGTTTTTACCTTGGGGCTACTTTAGTTGGCAGTAAGAGTTTCAATGTTCCAGATTCGCCTTTCTACCCTAAGGCACCTTTTCTTTCTTGGGTGATTTAATTGTAGGGGTTGGGATTTGTCCTCAGGGATGAGCACTTCTGACCAATTGGTGGATTTCAGCACCCATAGAAAGGGGGGCAGGCTGTGGTTTTGTTGGGTAATTTCGATGATGTTAGATCAGTTACCAGGATCAGATTATGATTTTTTGCCATTTGAGAAGCTGCAACAAAAATATTATTTGTAAAAAAAGCCCAGAGGAATGACAGTATCTACAGATTAAAACACCTTTGGCATCTAGATGTGGGCCAGGACCCATAAGAAATGCAGAACCTATCAAATATTAGTAGAATTTGTTATTTACACAATATATAATAGCTATTTGTTTATTACATTTGATGTTCAAGAGTATAGGGAAGCGTGGAATAAGGAATTGGAAAATCCAGTCCACGAACATCAACAAAAGACTATTTTGAAATCAATATGTTGCATTTCTTTAGATATAAAATGAATATTTCACCAAATTATTATTTACAATTGAATGCTACCCCTTTTAAAAAAGTGGTGGGTTTGGCTAACAAAAAAAAGTGGAATTATTGTTAAATAAACTTAAATATTAATAATCTAATTGTACAATTGACATGCATATACAGTCGTGTGAAAAAGGAAGTACACCCTCTTTGAGTTC